TGTGTTCCAATGAGGGAGTTTTTCTTTTGCTTTTCAAGGAGAGGAGCAAAAGGGAGGGGGGAGGGGTTTGTGCGGGGAGAAGGGTGCAACAATGAATGAATGGAATTCCAAAATCTCTGCAGATGTTCATTGAAATGAAAAATAAACAACGTAAATTAAAAATAAAAGAATCTAAATAAGAAAGAAATTCAAGGCTCTAATGGCAAAACTTAAAGATTCAGTGGGCAAAATCTTGAATGATGCAGGAAAGCATCAAAAGAAGATGAAAGAAATGCACATTATTACTATATCAAATAGAACTTGTTGTCACTGAACCACTGCTCTTTCAGAAATAGCATATGGTCAAGAACCAATAGGACTGAAGGAAGAAGTCCAGGCTGTACTGGAAGCATTGGCAAAAAAATAGAGTCCCAGAAATTGATAGAATGCCAATCAACATATTTCAATAAACAAGTGGAGCCCTGGACATGCTCACTCGTCTATATAAAAAAATTTGGAAGACAGCTGCTTGGCCAACTGACTGGAAGAGATCTATATTTGCTCCCATTCCATATAAAGGTAAGCCAACTGAATGTGGAAATTAATAATTAATATCGCATGCTGAAGATGATTTAAAAATGGCTGGAACACTTCATTGACAGGGAATTTACAGAAATTCAAGAAGCAGTGAAAAGACATTGCTGATGTCAGATAGATTTGGCTGAAAGCAGAGAACACTAAAAAGATGTTTACTTGTGCTTTATTGACTATGTAAAGGCATTTAATCATGTGGATCATAACAAATTATGCATAACAGTGAAAAGAATGGGAATCTCAGAACACTTAGTTGTGCTTATGTGGCATATATACACTGAGTAGTTAGTTATTCAAAAAGAACAAGAGAACACTACATGGTTTAAAATTAGGAAAGATGTGTGTCACTAATGTATCTTTTTTTAATTTAATCCCTTCCTATTTAATCTTTTAATTAAGCAAATCATTTGAGAAGAATATGATATCAAGATTGGAGGAAAACTCATCAACAACCTGTGTTATGCAGATGATACAATTTTGCCTACAGAAAGTGAAGACTTGGCCACAATAAGATAAACAAACCAATTGCAAAATGGGCACAGGATATGAACAGACACTTCACCAAAGAAGACATTCAGATGGCGAACAAACACACACACAAAAATTCAAAATCCCTAGCTCTAAGAGAGATGCAAATAAAAACAACTCATCTCACCCCAGTAAAAGTAGCAAAATTCAACAGAGCAGCAAACAACAAATGCTGAAGAGGTTGTGGAGAAACTGGAACCCTTATTCACTGCTGGTGGGAGTGTAAAATGGTGCAACCACTATGGAAGGCAGTATGGCACTTTCTCAAAAAGTTGGAAATAGAAATACCACTTGACCCAGCAATTCCATTGCTGGGAATAAACCCTAAAGAAACCAAAACCGACACCCAAGCAGATATAAGTACACCCATGTTTATTGTGGCTTTGTTCACAATAACAATGAGTTGGAAACAACCCAAAGGCCCATCAGCAAACAAATGGACAGAGAAGCTGTGGTACATTCACTCAATGGAATATTATGCTCTATTGAAAAACAAGAAACTCATGAAATATAATTTTTTTAAAAAATGCGTGACCCTTGAGAACATTATGATGAGTGTCACAAAAGGACAAATACTGCATAGTGCCACAGTTGTAAAACAGGACTGACTTCGGGGCTGGGGGGAGCCTAAAAAAAGAGGGGATAATGCATTGAAACAGATGAGAGAACGGTTTAAAAGGAATATATGGTTAGGTATTATTTTCATGACAAGATTCCAGAAAAAAGAAATGCATAGTAAAGTGGATTGTGGACTTGAAGTGTGTGTGGGGGGTACTGTATAACAATGAAATAACTTTTTTTTTTCTTTCTAAAGAGAAAAGTGCACTGGATGGAGGGATGGGCAGAAAGGAAAATGTGCAAAAATGAATGAATGGGGGAAAAAGAAATGGGAAGAGTATGCTGCAAAAAAAAAATATCTGGCACAAATAAAGTGTTTATAACAGTTAAAAAATAAGAATTAAAATACATTTTTTATTTCAAAGAAACAATAAAAAAAGAAAGTGAAGACTTGAGGCACTTATTGAAGAAAATTAAAGACTATAGACTTCAAGAAGGTTTACATTTCAACATCAAGAAAACAAAAATCCTTACCACTGATAGATGGAGATGATAAATGGAGAAAATATTTAAGTTGTCAACGATTTCATTTTACTTGGATCCACAATTAACACCCATGATAGCAGGAGTCAAGAAATAAAAAAAACCCAACATCCAAAAACAAAACAACAAACCCAAAACATGTTGCATTGGAAAATCTGCTGTCAAGGTCTTCTCCAAGGTGTTAAGGAGCAAGGATATCAGGTTAAAGACTAAGGATCACGAGATCTAAACCATGATCTTTTCATTGGCTTCCTATGTATCTGAAAGTTGGAAACGAAGTATGACAGAAAAATAACTGGTGCCTTTGAATTGTTGTGTTGGAGGAGAGTACTGAGTATCTCAAGACCTTCCATGAGAACAAACAGGTGTGTTTCGGAAAAAGTGAAACCAAGGTGCTTCTTGGAGTCAAGGATGGTGAAACTTCATCTACTATTCTTTGGGCATGATGTCAAGAGGAGTCAGTCTTTGGACAAAGATATCATGCTAGGGATGGTGGAGAGTCAGAGAAAAGAGAGACTCTCAACGAGATGGGTATCTCAGAGATGGCAAGATTAGGAACTCTAGTTAATAGAGTCTCTGTGAGACGCAGTCGACTCTTGCACTTAACAACAAAATGTCTTAAAGGAGCTCTGGAGGCCTGGTGTGCAGCCTGCTGGGTTGTTTACCAGGACGTCTGCAGTCGAATCCACCAGTAGTTCGAAGGGAGACGGATGGACTTCGGTAAAGATTTACAGCTTTGGGAACCTAAGGTAGAGTGGCTAGGAGTCGGAAAGAATTGAGTAAAGTATCTTGACTGAAGCTTGAAGATTGGAGAAACAAGTGTGTGCTCACTTAGAAAAAAAAAGTAACAGGAAAGAGCAAGAAAAGTAAGAAAAGAGATGCATATACTGGGCCCTTTAGAGGTCTCTGGGAGATGGTTTGTAAGCTCTCACCTTCCCAGGTACAGGTTCCTCGCAGCACAAACACATCCAAGTTGCTACAGAAACCAGGCTGCGGTCCCGTTACTAAGGGGAAGTAAAAAGTTGACACCCAGGGTCAAAGTTGACGGGTCACGTGACAAAAAAGAATGGGCGGGGATATCCCCTGACACCAACCAGCCCACAAAAAAACAAATACTTCTCCAATCAGCACCTCCTATGGGGAGCATCTTTCTAGCTCCACCTGCTCTCCGCCCCTTAATAGGGTGTTTGACCACTTTTCCCAGTAATAATGAGTTCTTGCTAGATTGACAGAAATATAGATCAGTCAAAATGCACACAGTCTGGCGTTTGGGGCGGGTAGAGCGAAACTACGCTACCTCTGATGAGGATGCCAGCGTATGGCTGGGATGAAAGCCAATCAGAGGAAGGATATGCAAATACTGGCCTATGGAAGAGGCAAGGGGGCGGGGGCGGCCGGTGCTAGGGATTTTGGTGGGTGGGGCGGGGCGAGTGTCCGTCAGGTCGTGAGCACCACTGGGTATTACGTAGGGTGCGGGCGCTAGGCCGAACCCGGCCCTTACGTCTGCTGGGATGGAGTTCCTCTTGGGGAACCCTTTCAGTACTCCGGTGGGGCAGTGCCTTGGTAAGTGCCTTGATAAGTGCCTTGGTAAGGTTGGGGCGGGAGCGGCGGCGGTGGCCAGGGTGCATCCTAGTCTACAGGCCTTGGCCCGGCGATTTGCTGACCTACTGCGGCCCAGAGACCCGACTCAGCCTCGGGATCCGCATGCACCTTCCCATCAGGGCTCAGTCCTTCATGGAGCTCCTAGGTCTGTTGCTAGTTTCTGTCTGCGATTTGGGTGCAGCCATCCATCCTATAGCCCCAGGACCCAATTTCCCCGGGTCACTCCATCCCCGGGCCAGTGTGCCCCTGGCCTCTCCCTAGTTCCAGTACTCTTCAGACGGGGAACTCTCTTAAGGGGATACCCTGGGCACTGAAACCTACTGATTTGAGCTGCAACTCAGCTAGGTTGTCTGTAATGATCCAGAATGAGAGTGAGATTGTCGTGGCATAGGGTGGGAGAACCGCTCCTTGAAGTTTCTTTCGGTGCATCTCGGGAAGCGGCCACTGCTGCTCTCTCCGAAGAGCAGCTGGTGAATTCTAACCTGCCCACCTTTGGCTAATGGTGTTATGTGCCGCCTGAGCTGCTCAGAAGGGAGCTTGGGTCAGGAGAGCCCTGGACTCTCGTCACTGCCTGTCTGAATTAAGTGTTCGTGCTTGTCGATGAAATTCTCAAAGGTGAAACATACTAGGTTCCTTCAGGTCTGTTCTGAAGTTTTGATGTCCTTTGTGGCAATATCTGTACACTCACAGTTGCTACCTGCACTAGTGCATATGCCGACACAAATCTTTTGGTAACATCTGAGAGCACGGAATTCCGGAGTGGAGCTCTGGGCACCTGAAAAGCGGCACCAGAGCTGACCAGTGTCTGGGTAAGGGAAGTGTACGGTGTAGGCGAAATAGCACCCTAGTGACTGCGCTGTGGGGTTTCCGTACTGAAAGAGCAGCTTACCTTCTCACCCGAGGTGAAAGGGGCCTCGGACGATCAGGAAAGACTGCTTTTAGGACTGAGTACCTCCTGGTTGGTGGACATGTCTTTTAAGAACAGGACTTTTTATGTCCTTTTAGGCCTGACTAAGCAGAAAAGAAGCACTGAACTGCTAACCAAAAGGTCGATGGTTCAAATCAGTCAGCTGCTCCACAAGGGAACAACAATGTGGTGGTTGAGGTGGCAGTAAGTGTGGCCGCCGAGGTAGCAGCCGGTGTGGAGGGTAGTGTAGTGGTCCAGGTGGCGTGGGGCCAAGGTGACGACGGTGTGGTGGCCAAAGTGGCAGTCGTGGTGGTCGCGTTGGCGGTAGGCGTGATGGTCCTGAAAACCAGGTGAGGCCGTTTCTACTCTGTCTTACAGGCTTCTGAGTTGCTTGACCACAGCTGTATTTTCCTGCTTTAAGTTAAAGGAGATTTAAATGTGTACAAATGGAAGTAGAGTAAGGTAAAAAGGGCAGAGAACGGATGCTGAAGTACCTGAATTTAAATTTGAGCCTTAGATTTTTTTTTTTTTTTGTCTCTTGAGAGAGAGAGAGAAAACAATAGAAATAAAGAGAGGTTCTATGTGAGAGACTGGTGAGAATTAAATGAAATAATATATTGAAACATGTAACATAATACCTGGAACATAGTGAGACTGCCAACCATCAAGTTGATTAAGACCATCGCTGACCTTTTGTTGTTTTATGAGATTGAACTGGGAGGAGATTAAAAAAAAAAAAGAAAAAGAAATGGGAGGAGATTACCGTCTTTCTCCCTGGAAGCTGCTAGTGAATTCTAATCGCCAGAGATATGCAGCCTTTGGGTTACTAGCACAACTCGCCGCAGAACTACTGCACCAAGGCTCCCTTGGAGTTGAGTAGAATCTCAATAAATTGTAGCTATCACTGTTAATAACAGAGTGATTATATTAGGGTATTAGGGTTCACTTTTCTCCAGAAAGGATATGCCAACACTATTGAATCCATTTGTTACACGTGAAGGAAAATACTTTGCTAGTCTCCATCCCTTCTAAGATAAGATACGCTTGACCATAAAGAGGATGTTCCTCATTGACACAGGGGACTGAGAGGACAGAGTCCTAGGAGCAGTACGTTGGATACAGATGGTTACAGTTGTTTTTTCAGTGGAAAAGCTGGTGAACAAACAAGCAACTGGCACCAAATGTAGTAAAGACTGACAATTCAGTTTAGATAGAGGACAGAATGACATTCTAATCCTTACACTGTTATAATGTGTAAATATAATTTATGGCATCTTGGTATTTTTTTAATATTTGCAAGAGAGGCAGCGTCACTTGTTGCAAGTCAACTGTGAGCCCTGTGGCTTCGTGTATAATGCATGAGGCAACTCATAAGATTGGCTATTCAAACCCACAGGCCACTGAGGGAGAAACCTGATGGAACAGGTCTGTGAGTTGGAATTCAGCCAGCAGCAGTCAGTTATTTGTTATAGGCCACCTAAGGGGCCTAAGTGGCACAGTGGTTAAAGTGCTTGGTTATTAACCCAAAGATTGATGACTTGTACCAGCCTGTGAGAGTAAGATGGGAGTTGGCTTCTGTAAAGATTTACAGCTTTGGAAGCTTATGGTGCAATTCTCCTCTGTCCTGTAGGGTCTCTGTGGGTTGGAATCAGCTTGATGGCAGAGTGTATGGGTTTGGTGTGTGCTACCTTTGGAGTCTAGGTAGTACACTGGTTAAAGTACTTGACAGTTACTAGAATCTCCCAGCTCCACAAGAGAATAATGTGGCAGTCGGCTTCCATAAAGATTTATAGTCTTGGGATGTACAGTTACTGCAATTATCTACTAACTAAAAGGTTGGAAGTTTGAATCCACCCAGAGATGCCTCAGAAGGAAGGCCTGGCAAACTACTTTTGAAGGATGACAGACACTTGACAACTCTCGGGAGCATACATAGTTCTACTCTGACATATGTGAGATTGCCAGGAATTGGAGTCAACTAAACAGGATGATTTGTTTTGTTTTCTATGCCACTAATGCCTCCTTAAATATTGGATCCTTAAGAATTGCAACACTTAAGGATGCTTTGTACAGAATATTGAGTGATCCTACAAGTATTAAAAGAAGATGAAAAGAGTATACAGAGTCATTATACCAAAAGGAATTGGCAGACTCAGAAGTATTTAATGAAACAACATGTGAGCAAGTGCCTTTGGTGATGAAGAAGTTCAGACTACTTTGAAAGAATTGGCTAAGAATAAGGCCCCAGGAATTGATGATATACCAGTTGACGTATTTCAACTAACAGATGCTGTCCTAGATGTGCTCACCAAGTTGTGCCAAGAAATCTGGAGAACAACTACTTGGCCAACTGACTAGAAGAAATTTATATTTGTTCCCATTTCAAAGAAAGGTGATCCCACAACAATACCACTAATATCACATACAAGCAAGATTTTGCTGAAGATTATCCAAAAATGACTAGAACAGAGAACTGCCAGAAGTCCAGGCTGGGTTTAGACAGGGCCGTGGTACTAGGGATATTGTAGCTAATGTTAGATGGACCTTGGCTGAAAGCAAGGAGTACCAGAAGAATGTCCATCTGTGTTTCATTGATAATGCAAAGGCATTTGACTGTGTGGATCATGACAAACTGTGGCTAACTCTGAGCTGAATGAGAATCTCAGAACACTTGATTGTGCTAATGCGAAATCTATACTTGGACCAGGAGGCAGTCATCAGAACAGAGCAAGGAAACACTGCATGGTTCAAAATTGGGAAGGAATTACACCAGGGCTGTATTCTGTCTCCATACCTTTTCAATCTTTACGCAGAACAGGTTATCCCGGAGGCGTGGCTCTATGAGGAAAAATGTGGCATCGGGATTGGAGGAAGAATCAACAATCTGCGTTATACAGATGACACAACCCTGCTTGCTGAAACTGAGGAGGACCTGAAGCACTTGCTGTGGAAGGTCAGGGACTGCAGTCTTCAGTATGGATTGAGATTCAATATCAAGAAGACAAAGATTCTTGCCACTGGGCCGACTGGCAACTTCATAATGGATGGTGAAGAGATTGAGATTGTTCATAGTTTTGGTTTGCTTGGATCCATAGTCAACACTCTTGGCACCAGCAGCCAGGAAATTAAAAGACATATTGCGATGGGAAAGTCTGTGGTTAAGGACCTCTCTAAAAATGCTGAAGTGCAAGGATGTCAGTCTGGAGACTAAGGTGCGCCTGATACATGCCATGGTCTTTGCAATCACTTGCTATGCATCAGAGAGCTGGACAATGACTAGGGATGATAGAAGGAGAATTGATGCCTTTGAGCTGTGGTGTTGGAGAAGAGTGTTGAATATATCATGGACTGCTAAGAAAACAAACAGGTTTGTCCTAGAGAGGGTGAAGTCAGGCTGCTCCTTGGAGGCAAGGATTCTGAAGCTTCGTCTGACATACTTTGAACATGTTGCAAGGAGGGACCAATCCTTGGAGAGGGACGTCATACTTGGGAGGGTGGAGGGACAGCGCAGGAAAGGAAAATCCTGAATGAGATGGATTGATTCAGTGACTGGGGTAATGAGGGTGGGTGTGTCAGAGAAGGTGAGGTTGGCATAGGATAAGACAGAGTTTAGGGCTGTTGTACATAGGGTCGCTATGAGTCATAGACGACTCAATGGCACATAACAACAACAACAACAACAACAACATGCCACTAATGGAGGTGGGAGGAGAACACAGACATAAAATGCCAACAACAACAAAAATAAGATTGAAAATAGCAATGCTAGCTTACTCAGACAAATTCCACAGCTATCATTTGCTGCTCTGTAAAGCAAATGTTATTGTCCTTCCCTCTTTAGAGAGGAGGAGACTGATACTCAGAGGAGAGTGCAACTAAAGACTATTCAACTGGAAAGAGGAAAAGGTGAAATTCCACATCTAGTTTCTGCACTTTAGAGAGATACAGTCTCAGGAGAGAAAATAGAGACCTGAATTGTATGTACAATGAAGACTAATAGAAAGTCAACTGTAGTTAAGTGGTGCAGATTATAAACATTGCAGAGTTCAAAAGA